GCAGTAGGATATCCCGGTGGTAGTGCAGCTCAGGTGGTTAGTATCATTTTGATACTCTAAGGTTGTGGGTTCAATCCCTGGTCAGGGCACATATAAGAATCAACCATGAATGCATAAATAAGAGGAACAACAAATAGATGTTTCTCTAAAATCATAATTTTTTTTAAAAGAGCACTAAGCGCCTGGTCAGTGTGGCTCACTGGTTGAGCGTGGACCCATGCACCAAGAGGTTGCTGGTTCGATTCCCGGTCAGGGTACATGCCCAGGTTGTGGGCCTGATCCCCAGTGGAGGCCATGCAGGAGGCAGTCAGTTGATGTTCTCTCTCATCAATGTCTCTTTTTCTCTCCCTTTCCCTTCCTCTCTCTAAAATCAATAAAGAGGCTGGTCTGAGTGCAGTGGTGCCTACAATTAAAATCAATAAAGAAAACAAATTGTATGGAGCACTAGGAGCATCTTTTTTTTTTTTTTTTTATCCTCACCCGAGGACATTTTTCCATTTTTTGTTCAGATAGAGCGGGAGGGAGAGAGAGGGAGAGAGAGAGAAACATCGACGTGAAAGGGACACATCGAGTGGCTGCCACCCCGCACGACCAACCAGGGCCGAGGACAAACTGCAACCGAGGTACGTGCCCTTAGTGGGAACTGAACCCGGGTTTCTCTGGACCACAGGCCGATGCTCTAACCGCTGAGCCAAACCGGTCAGGGCTACCACGTCCTTTAATAAACTGGTAAACATAAGTATTTCCCTGAGTTGTGATTACCAGCAAAGTAATCAAACCCAAGGGGGAGGAGGTCATGGGAACCTCCCATCTACAGCCAGTGGGTCATAAGTATTAGGTGACAACCTGGGTTACAACTGGCACCTGAAGGGGGAAGGGCAGTCTTATAGGACTGAGCCCTCAACCTGTGGAATCTAATGCTATCTCCAGGTAGTGTCAGAACTGAGTTGAATTCTTGGACTCCCAGCTGGTATCCTGGACACAGAATCACTAACCTTGAAAGAAATTAAGAAATTTGACATCGCCCGGCCGGTGTGGCTCAGTGGTTGAGCGTCGACCCATGCCCCAAGGTGTCCTAGAATTGCTTGTTGGTGTGGGGAAAACCACACAATTAGTGAACAGAAGTGGCAGAAGGGAAGTGCTTTATGTGAGTAGTGAAGGAGACTCACATTAGGAAAACTCTGAGTTTTTCCATTACAGAAAGGCAAAACCATAAAACTTAAAAAGGTCGCTGGTTTGATTCCTGGTCAGGGCACATGCCCAGGTTGTGGGCCTGATCCCCAGTGGAGGGCATACAGGAGGCGGCCAATCTGTTTTCTCTCATCAATGTTTCTCTCTCTCGCTCGCTCTTCCTTCCTCTCTAATATCAAAAAAGAAAAAAAAATTTTTGTAAATTTGACATTAAGCCCTGGCCAGTCTGACGCAGCGATTAGAGTATTGGCCCGCGGACGAATGAGTCACAGGTTCTATTTCGGTCAAGGGCACGTACCTTGGTTGTGGTTCATCCCCAGCTCTGGTCGGGTCGTGAGGGAGGCAAGCAGTTGATGTGTCTTTATCACATCGATGTTTCTGTCTCTCTCTCTCTCTCTCTCCCTCCCTCCCTCCCATTCTATCTAATGATAAATGGAAAAATATCCTCGGATGAGGAATAAAAAAAAAAAAAAAAATTTGACATTAAGAATTTTATTCAGCCTGGCTGGTGTGGCTCAGTGGTTGAGCATGGACCCACACACCAAGAGGTCGCCGGTTCGATACCCAGTCAGGACACATACCCAGGTGTGGGCCAAATCCCCAGTGCAGGACATGCAGGAGGCAGCCAACTGATGTTCTCTCTCATTGATGTTTCTCTCTCTCTCCTTCTCCCTTCCTTCCTCTCTAAAATCAATAAAGAAAAAAACTTAAAAAAACAAAAGAATTTTATTCAGCCCTGGCCAGTTTGGTTCAGTGTTAAAGCGCCAGCCTGGCCCTGGCCGGTTTGGCTCAGCGGTTAGAGCATAGGCCTGCGGTCCAGAGAGACCCGGGTTCGGTTCCTGCTTAGGGCACTTACCTCAGTTGTAGTTTGTCCCTGGCCCTGGTTGGGTCTTGCAGGTGGCAACCACTCGATGTGTCCCTTTCACGTCGACGTTTCTCTCTCTCTCTCCCTCCCACTCTATCTGAACAAAAAATGGAAAAATGTCCTCGGGTGAGGATATTAAAAAAATAAAAGGCCTCAGCCTGAGGACCAAGGGGTCATGGCTTTGATCCCCAGCCCCCGTCAGGGACATGTGGAAGGCAACCAATTGATGTGTCTCTCTCACATCAATGTTTCTCTCTCTCCCTTCCACTCTAAAATTCAATGGAAAAATATCCTTGGGTGAAGATTTAACAAAACAAAACAAAAAAAAGAATTTTGTTCACCAAAGGACACCTTTTAAGAGAAAAAATGCTCTGGCTTGTGTTGCTAAGTGGTTAGAGCATCAGCCTGCACAGTGAAGAGACATGGGTTTGATTCCCAGTCAAGGGCATGTACCTGGGGTGCAGGTTTGATGCCCAGCCCCAGTAGGGGAGCATTCAGAAAGCAACCAATCAATGTGTCTCACATCAATGTTTCTTCCTCTTTTTCCCTCCCTCCCTTCCACTCTCTCTTAAAATAAATGAATAAATAAACAAATGAGGAAAAATCCTCAATATCCTTGGATATTTACAAAAGAAATAAATAATGAAAGTGAAAGACACCTGGCCAGTGTGGCTCAGTGGTTGAGCATTGTGACCTATACCAAAAAGGTAGCAGGTTTGATTCTTGGGCAGGGCACATCCCCAGGTTTCGGGTTTGCTCCCTGGTCAGGGTGCCTGCAGGAAGCAGCCATTTGATGTTTCTCTCTCTCTCTTTCCCCCTTCCTCTCTCTAAAATATCAATTTAAAAAAAATGTTTGTTAAAAAAAAGTGAAACGACAAGTCATAAATAGGAAGAACATACTTACAACATATATAACCAGTAATGATTTAGTATCAAGAATAAAGCACTCCTACAGAACATCAATATAAAGACAACCCAATAGAAAAATGGTCAAAAAACATGAAAAGACATTTCACAAACATGGAAATACAAAGACTTATTTTGAAATATATGAAAAGATGATCAATCTCGATCTCATTAGTAATTAAGGAAAAACAGATTAAAACCATAACGAGTTATCATTTTATCCTCACTTGACTGGTAGAAATTAGAGTCTTAATGATATCAAGGTCTGAAAAGAATGTAGTCAATAGGGATCCTTATGCCGCAGGCACACACTCACACCATCCCATTGGGAGACAATTTGGCATTACCCTGAAAGTACCCTAAAGACACTTGTTCACAGGTGCATCAGGAGAGATGCACAGAAAACTCCACTGTGACCCTGTTGATAATAGAAAGATAACAGACAGCAATGCAAATGTCCATCAATAGGAAAATAAAAATTGTAGTCTTCAAGAACGTAATACTATACAACCATGAAAAATCAAGTTACATGCAACAACTATGATGAAACTCAAAAACAAAATATTTGTTTAAAAAGTAAGTTCCATAAGAGTCATGGTATAAAATTATTTTTTATAAAGCTCAAAAACAAGCAAAACTAAACATATTCTGGTCAAGAAGCTATGTGTATATGAGAATATTATGAAAGGAAAACATAAAATTTCAAGGTATTTTTCAGGAGGATATGGAGAGGTGGGTTCAAGAAGGCATAGAGCCCTGGCTGGTGTGGCTGTTTGTTGGAGCCTGTATACCAGAAGGTTGTGGGTTCAATCCTGGTCAAGGCACATATCAGAAGGCAACTGATCAATGTTTCTCTCACATCAATGTTTCTCTCTTTCTTCCCTTCTCTAAAATCAATAAGCATATCCTTCGGTGAGGATTTTTTTTAACCCTCACCTGAGGATATTTTTTCAATTATCTTCAGATATAGTGGGAGGGAGGAAGGGAGGGAGAGAGAGAGAGAGAGAGAGACATCTATGTGAGAGACACATTGACTGGCTGCCTCCTGCACGACCCTGACCAGGGCCGGGGACAAACTGCAACCAAAGTACATGCCCTTGATTAGAATCAAACCCGCGACACTTTGGTCCATGGGCCAACGCTCTAACCACTGAGCAAAACTGGCCAGGGCCTTGGGAGAGGATTTAAAAAAAAGGGGGGGGGGTAGGTATGTGGCAAGGAAATATTCTAGCTCTTAAATCTGAATGGCTTCAGGTATGTTTTTTCTGCTTCACAATTTATATATAATTTAGTGTGTCAAATATTATTTACCTGTTTAATATAATAAAGGTGGAGGGAATGATGCAAATTTTGCATTCTACCCCATACCCTACAAAAAAACGTTTCCTCTAAATTTGGTACGCCAAGGTTTCACAGTCCACCTTGTGAGTCTAGCCTGAAGGATCCCTGATCTTTGTTGACTGCTGCCTACTTTTCCATCTCTGTCTCCTGCCACTCACTCAGCCAGTCTCTGAGCTACCCAGCTCCTCCACACTATCAGCACATGCTGTTCTTATTGACTGGAAACATCCCCATCTCTTCCTTCTTAGCTGATGAGCAGTTTTTCACCATCACAGGGCTCAAATGTTACCTCCAGAAGCCTTCCCAGAGGCTGCAAGGGTCTGGCCCTTTTTCCTTGCTGTTTCCGGACTGTCTTGCTCATGCCTCTTTGGGGACATAGCAAACATGTGTAATGGCTTTTATGAACCAGCCCTGGCCTAGAATTCCCAAAGGCCAGTACTGTTTTCTGTTCACCTCTGTGGCCCTAATGCCTAAAAAATAGTAACTTTCAGAAAAGTTATTCTTAATGCAAGTAAAATAGCCCCAGGGCAGGAAAAATGTAAGGACAGACTGCCAAGGATGGAGATGGGAAGTGGAGCACGTCAGGACTGAGAGACCACATACTGAAGACACAGAACTCAATAAGGAACATGCTCCTTCATGCCGTATACTCCTCTCTCAAACTCAAAGCTACTATTATTTGAAGCAAAAAAAAAAAAAAAGTTGTCAAGCTTTATTTAGGTTGTAATGGTTCAGATAACATATCTAGCCCTATATCCCACCCACCCTACGCAGCCCCCGGGTAGGCTCAGCTACCCTTCCGCTCCAGTCTCATTTCTTGTCCTCCTCCTTCTTTTCCTTCTTGCCATCCTTGGTGGCCTGAGAGGCCAGGGAGCCCATGGCATTTCGAATGGCCTCATTGTTGGGATCCACACCTGGAAGGTTCTCCAGGACACTCTGAAGGAATTCGGGGTCCTGCATCACGTCATAATCATCCTCCTCCTGAAAAAGGGCAGGGTCAGCTCAGGGTAGGGCGAGGTGCACACTGCTGCCTGGGCCCCTCTCCACCAGTCTGGGGTGGGGGACACCTCTGGCCGAGGGTAGGAAGGATGACTCAGGAAAACACCCAGTATCTATATATGGTATGAATGCAAACATTTATTACCTGACCGCTTTGCTTCCTGAGCTCAAAGGCTAAAAGCAGACGCCATCATGTTCAGGTTTCCTGCTATCAGACACCCATTCCTCCTTTTTCTTTTTCCTAGACCCTCTCCTGGGTAGATGAGATCCTAGAGAACTGTCCAGCCCGCTCTCACCAGCAAGGAACGAAAATTACAGAATACCAGGACACTTCTCCAACCCCAACCACTAGCATGCTACTGCCTTAGCAGGTTTACACACAAGAAACTATACCCATGTGTTTGTTTCCTTCTGCTCCTCAACAAGCTCGTCTATAAAACCCTGAAAGAGGAACAGTCCCAGGCCTAGAGAGCTGAGGACCTGATGGGGGCAGGAGTCACCACTGGCCCTCACCTTGGCGGGCTCAGATGTGTCCATGGCTGAACTGGCATCAATGTCAGCTGATTCTGCCTGGCCAAACTCTGAGGAAAAGAGGTCAGTCTGTTCAGTTCCATTTCCCCACCCCAAGCTCTTTGCCTAAAACCTGCCACCCAGACCCTGGCTCACCTGTACCCTGCAAGGACATCTGCATGGCATAAGCAATCTGCTCTTCCTCAGTCATACTGCTTAGGTCAGGGAGCCCAGTGCGGCTGAACTCCTGCTGGTTGATGGTCATCTTCAGCAGGGCGTCGTCCGAGTCTGGGAAAGGACAGTGGCAGGGTGGGACTGGTGACTATTCCACAGAGACTCACCCCCAAAACATTTCCTCAGTCCACATATTCCCACACTGCCAGACACCCGCCCTCCCATGCCTGCACCAGCTTCCACGGAGCACCCCGCAGCCACGGGACTTCAGATTCCACCTCTTTCACCTTCGGCCCCAGTCGCAGCGATCCCAGCCTCAGCAGCCGAGGCTGCAGCTGCCCGCCGGGCCTCCTCCTCCTGCCGCTGCCGCTGCTCTTCCATGGAAACCCGCAGGGCCTGGCGAAAGGCAGGGCAAGGTCAGATGTTCACCCACCCTCCCTCACTCGTGGGGAAGTCAGCAGAGTGGTGGCAAAGGAGCACCAGAGGCACATTTTGGTTTATGCATATGGAGAAGCCAGAGAGGCGATACAGGAAAAATGCATATGGGAGAAGCCTGGGGTTTAATCAGGAGAAGTGAGTAAGAATCTGACAGAGATCAGACAGAATTATACAGCAGAGGGACCACAATGGGGGTCTGGGAAACTGAGCAAGGGAGTGTAGGGCTGTCTAGCTCCAGAGGAGCTATGTGGCGTGTGGGTGTGTCAGTAGAGGACAAAGAAGGACACTTGGGCTCTACCTGCGGTCAGCACGTGCTTACCAGGGCCAGTTCAGGATCAGCACTGGGATCCACTCCAAATTCAAAGTCACTGGCACCAAGACCCAGCATGGCACCACCTTCACCAGCCAGAATCGGAGAACTGATGAGGGCATCAGCAAGGCTGGGCCCAGGAGGCACTGTCACCAGGTGAGAACCAGTTCCATCTTTGCCATTCAGTGTGTTCACAAAGGCTGTCAGCTTTTCTGTGTTCACTTCCTGGGGGAGGAAAGAACACAGGAGACTTTCCTTCCTGCCCACACGCTCCCCACTCTCTGCTATTTCAGTCCTTGCTTGCAATCCTCTCCCACACACAGCACGCCTCTGGGAAGGACTGTTCTCATTTTACAACCAAAGCAAGTCAATGCTCCCAACCAGTCCTTACTCACCTCTTCTCCAAAATTTATAATGTCAACATTTACTTTCTCCTTCTTGAGGCGTTTCGCCAGTTTCACCAGCTGGGAAGAAGGGGAAAGACATGAGGAAACCCGTTCCACACCATGAGGGGAAGTGACACACCTCACAAAAGCATACGGAACTCAGCTGACCTCCCCAAAGTCCCCCAACAGAAACACTAAATTCTGCATATCCACCTTTCCCCAAATTGATGAACCCAATGCCTCTGCCAGGCTCCCCTAAGGGTTGAAAGACCCCATTCCCAAATACGTTCCACCCGATTTTCCCCCAGCTGTCACTTGGACTCACATCCTTCTCATTGTCCTCCACAGGGCTCCCCACAAAGGCAATGATGCGCATCTTGTGATTCTTGCCCTGTCGGTGCTTCAGAGCCAACTAGTAAAGAAAAGAAAGTTCTCAGAGTCAGCCAGAGGAATCACTGAGCTCGTTCCCTGTCACTCTGTTGCTTTCTTCTTATGGTTTCTACGTACCTCAAGTCTACCACCATGCTCACACAAGGTCTAAACCCTTTCCTTCACCCTTCCCTTTTTGGGATTCACCCCACCACATCCTTTCTACTCCTTTCTCCAGGTCACCTCTCTTTCCTTGCTCTGGTTCTAGCTCAAGATTCCACAGGAGAAATTAACAATGTTGGAGGCAGAATCTCTGAGCAAGAAGGAACAATCAAAGGGATCCAGGACTCACATGGGCCACGCGGATGCCAGTGCAGAAGGTGATCTTGCCCTTGGGCTGGACAGTATGAAGCTTGGACAGGATGCGGCCGGTGTCAGGGGTGAGTGTGGTCAGTACTTCGCAGTCACTGGAATATGCAGAAAACAGTTCCATGATTTCAGGTCAAAACAAGTGTCTCTACACTGTTTGATTCATCTTTTCTTTAGAGAACTTGAAAATAACTGTAATCCCTATTTTTCTTAATCAAACATCTAAAAGTTATCATCACAAAAAATAACAAATTATGTGAGATGTGGATGTCAACTTCTTGTAGTAATCATTTTACAATACAGTTGACCCTTCAACTACGAGGGGCACAGTGGAAAATCTGTGTGTAATTTCTGATTCCCCCATGGGCGATTAGTTTCAGGACCCCGCAGCAGATACCATATTCGCAGATGCTTAAGTCCCTTATATAAAATGGTGTAGAACAGCAGGGCCAGTGTGGCTCAGTGGATTGAGTGTCATGCCATGCACTAGAAGGTCATCAGTTCCCGTCCAGGTCAGAGCATATGCCCGGGTTCTGGGCTTGATCCCCAGTGCGGGGAGTGCAGGAAGCAACCAATCGCTGTTTCTCTCTCACTGATGTTTCTGTCTCTCCTTCTCCCTTCCTCTCTCTCTAAAATATCAATTAAAAAAAATATATATATATATTTTTACATTTTTGCATTTATCCTCAGATAGAGCGGAAGGGAGAGAGGCAAGGAGAGAGAGAGAAACATCGATGTAAGAGAGATACACCGAGCGGCTGCCACCCACATGACCACAACCAGGGCTGGAGCCAGGGCCAAACTGCAACCAAGGTACATTCCCTTATCTGGAACCAAACCTAGAACTCTCTGGTCCGCAGACTTACACTCGTAACTGCTAAGCCAAACACCGGGCAGGGCTAAAATGTATATATTTTTAAATAAAAATAAAATGGCATAGAACAATGCCTATAGTTGGCCCTCCACAACCGGGATTCCCAATCATGATAAAAAAAATACTGGTTTCTTTGTCCCTGGCCCTGCTTGGGTCGTGCGGGTGGCAGCCACTCGATGTGTCCCTTTCACGTCGATGTTTCTCTCTCTCTCTCTCTCCCTCCCACTCTATCTGAACAAAAAAATGGAAAAATGTCCACAGGAGAGGATAAAAAATTAAAAAAAACAAAAATACTGGTTTCAATCTGCAATAAAAACATGCTTTTTGCCCTGGCCAGTTTGGCTCAGCAGTTAGAGCTTTGACCCAAGGACCGAAGAGTCGCGGGTTCAATTCCGGTCAAGGGCACGTACCTTGGATGCACTTTGGTCCCCGGCCCTGGTCGGAGTCATGCGGGAGGCAACCAATTGATGTGTCTCTCTCACATCAATGTTTCTCTCTATCTCTCCCTCCCACTCTCCCACTCTGTCTGAAAATAAATGGAAAAATATCTTCGGCTAAGGATTAAAAAAAAAAAAAGCCACAGGCTTCTTCAATGTTTTTTATTTTATTTCTATTTTTTTTAAATGTTTTCTTCCATTGCCCTGGCTGGTTTGGCTCAGCAGTTAGAGCACTGGCCTGCGGTCCAGAGAGACCCGGGTTCGGTTCCCGCTAAGGGCACGTACCTCGGTTGCAGTTTGTCCCCGGCCCTGGTTGTTGTGCGGGTGGCAGCCACTCAATGTGTCCCTTTCACGTCAATGTTTCTCTCTCCTTCCCACTCTATCTGAACAAAAAATGGAAAAATGTCCTCGGGTGAGGATAAAAAAAAAAATGTTTTCTTCCATTTCGTTGGTTGCCTTTTTATTTATTTATTTATTTATTTAATCCTCCCCCGAGGGCATTTTTGCATTCATCTTCAGAGTGAGGGGTGGGGGAGAGAGAAACATCAATGTGAGAGAGACACATCAACAGGCTGCCACCCACACGACCCCAACCAGGGCAGGGACAAACCGCAACCAAGGCACGCACCCTTAGTGGGAACCAAACCTGGGTCTCTCTGGACTGTAGGTCGATGCTCTAACCGCTGAGCCAAACCGGTCAGGGCTTCTTCAATGTTTTTTTTTAAAAAAAACATGTTTTTTTTGCCCTGGCCAGTTTGGCTCAGCGGTTAGAGCGTTGGCCTGCGGTCCGGAGAGACCCGGGTTCGGTTCCCGCTAAGGGCACGTACTTCGGTTGCAGTTTGTCCCCGGCCCTGGTTGGTTGTGCAGCCACTCGATGTGTCCCTTCACGTCGATGTTTCTCTCTCTCTCTCCCTTCCTCTCTCTCCCTCCCACTCTATCTGTACAAAAATGGAAAAATATCCTCGGGTGAGGATTTAAAAAAATAAATAAATAAATAAAAATTAAAAAAACATGTTTTTTAAAAATATGTTTTAATTGATTGTTTTAGAGAGAAAGAGAGAGAAACATCAATGTGAGAGAGATACATCGATTGGCTACCTTCTGCACATCCCCTACTGGGGATCGAGCCCGCAACCCAGGCATGTGCCCTGACTGGGAATCAAACTGGGACCTCTCAGTCCATGGGACAATGGTCAATTCACTGAACCACATAGGCTGGGCCATTTTTTTTTTTTTTAAATAAAAAATAAAAATCTGCATCTAAGTGGATCCATGTAGTTCAAATCTGTACTGTTCAAGGGTCCAATATTATATATCAATTATATGTCAATAAAACTGGGAGGAAACCTAGTGCCGAGATGTGCAGCATGGAAAATAAGTGGCTGGCCCTGGCCAGTTTGGCTCAGCGGTTAGAGCGTCCGCCTGCGGTCCGCAGAGACCCAGGTTCGGTTCCCGCTAAGGGCACGTACCTCGGTTGCAGTTTGTCCCCGGCCCTGTTTGGTCGTGCGGGTGGCAGCCACTCGATGTGTCCCTTTCACATCGATGTTTCCCTCTCTCTTTCTTCCTCTCTCTCCCTCCCACTCTGTCTGTACAAAAAATGGAAAAATGTCCTCGAATGAGGATTAAAAAAAAAAAAAAAAAGAAAGAAAATAAGTGGCTGATTTTGTAAAAACTTGCCCTTGTCCTCCCCGTTTCTCCCTCGCTCCTCTCATGTTATCTTGTTGGCAGAGCTGAGAATCCTCCACAACAGTTGGACGCTACTGTGTCTCTCTCCCACCATCTCCATTTCTAGATTCATTTTCCTAATAACATGACAATATGTACACTGGAATGGGTGGTTACTCATTTGAGGATTATCAACTCCTAAAGCAAATCACTTTTGAGGTAACAGGATATGTGAAATATGCCTTGGGGCTCTTACCCTAAATCACTTTTCTTTTTTCTTTCCTTTATTGATTTTATAGAGAGAGGAAGTGAGAGAGAGGGAGAGACAGAAACATCGATGAGAAACACCATCAACTGGCCACCTCTTGCATGCTCCCCAATAGGGATCTGGCCCACAACTAGGGCACATGTCCCAACCAGGAATCGAACTGGTGACCTCTTGGTGCATGAGTCGTTGCTCAACCACTGGGCCACACTGGTGGGACCCTAATCACTTTTCACTGACTTTAAAATATACTGTGAAATTTTACCCCAGGAGATTGATACTCATAACTGTATTAAACTCAGGTCAATATTAAAAACAAGTTACACCTGGCTGGTGTGGCTCAGTGACTGAGCGTCGACCCATGCACAAACAGGTCGCCGGTTCAATTCCCGGTCAGGGCACATGCCAGGCTGTGGGCCTGATTCCCAGTGGGGGGGGCATGTAGGAAGTGGCCAATTGATGTTCTCTCTCATCGATGTTACTCTCTCTTTCCCTCTCCCTTCCTCTCTATAAAATCAATTTAAAAAAATAATAGTAAGTTGCTATTGCCCTGGCCAGTATGGCTCAGTGGACAGAGCATCAGCCTGAGCACCGAATGGTTACAAGTTCAATTCCCAGTCAAGGGCATGTACCTGGGTTGCACGTTCGACCCTGGCTCTGGCAGGAGTCAAGTGGGAGGCAATCAATCGATGTTTCTCTCTCTCTCTCTCTCTCTCTCTCTCTCTCTAAAATTCAATGGAAATGATATATTCTGGTGAGGCTTAACAAAAAAACAAACAAACAAAAAAACAAGTTACTATTTCTATTTACATTAAACAGAGAAGAAGGTAGTCTAGGAAGGTGATCGGCAAAAGCAGCCTCACAAAATCTACAAAAGGGTAGCAACCTGGATGCCACAGTGGGTGACATGTGGGAAAACCCCACCCACTGCCAAACCCCCTCCTCTTCTGTCCCACGTACTTGGCCAGTGTGATAAGGCCCACGTTGTTCTCAGGGTTGCTGCGGGTCTTGGAGTGACATACAATGTTGACAGCATCTTGTTGGGCCTGCAGCCGAGTGGGTAAGAAGTCCCCATTCCGCATGTACTCGCTGTTGTCCACGCTGTTAGATTACGAGTGAAGGAGAGAAAAGACACATGTAAAGGATCTGAGGCATCCTCTCCAGTTTCAGGGACCTCCACCTCCTTCAACCTCTCCTGTGAGAGGCATTGTGGGGAATAACAGTGGCTCTCAGTCTGTGGAACTCAGAATCACCTCCAGCTTTTAAAAAAATATATATAAATGACTAAGCCTTAACTCAAACTTACTGAATCAAAATGACTAAAGGAAGAAAAAAAATTTAAATCTCTACTCCACAAGTGACTCTGATAAGCACCAAAGGTTTCAATCTACTGATATACCAAAACAGCCCTTTTATAAGGTATATTTAAGTGTTATTAAGTATTATCATGGATGAATAGTCTAAGTATGAATAGTCTAAGTATGCCACTAAAATGGGAGTATTCCAAAGGTAAGAGATAAAGGCAACTTAAAAATATTTATGCCCAGCTGGTGTGGCTCAGTGGTTGAGCATCGACCATGCACTAAGAGGTCACCAGTTCGATTCCTGGTCAGGGCACATATCCAGGTTGTGGGCCAATCCCCATTGGGGGGGCATGCAGGAGGCGGCCAATCAGTGTTCTCTCTCATCAATGTTTCTTCTTGTCTCCCTCTCTCTCTAAAATTCAATAATAATAATAATAATAATAATAATAATAATAAAATTAAAGAAAAATAAATAAATAAAAAGAAATGGAAAAAATATCCTCACCAAGATTAGCAACAATAAAAACATAAAATAACACACTTGGCAGCACTGAGCACAGGAAAATACAATACAGTTATCTGGTGAAATGTGTAACAGCTAGAATGAACTGCAAAAATGAGGTTTCATGGATCTGGAGTCTCACCTCTTCTATCCCTACAACTTGTCATAATCTAAAAGAATCCAGCCCAGCTGGTGTCACTCAGTGGTTGAGCATCAACCCACACAACAAGAGGTCGCCGGTTCAATTCCCAGTCAGGGCACATGCCCAGGTTGTGGGCTAAATCCCTAGTGGGGCCATGCAGGAGGTGGCCAGTCGATGTTCTCTCTCATTGATGGTCTATCTCTCTCTCCCTCTCCTTTCCTTTCCTCTAAAATCAATAAAGAAAAAAAATTTAAAAAGAATCCAGATTCTATGAACTACAAGCTCCAGCTTCCCAGGGACCAAAAAGAAGGCAGATCAGGGAAGCAGTTATACAAGCCCCTGAACAGAATCAAATTTTTTTTTTTTTAATCCTCACCCGAGGATATTTCTCTATTTATCTTCAGATAGAGTGGGAGGGAGAGAGAAACATCAACGTGAGAGGGACACATCGACTGGTTGCCTCCCACATGCCTCGACCAGGCCCTGGGATGAACTGCAACCAAGGTATGTGCCTGGAATCAAACCCGAGACTCATGGTCCATGGGCTGTCGCTCTACCGCTGAGCCAAACCGGCCGGGGCCAGAATCAAATTTTTTTTTTTGGCAAAAATCTTTATTAAAGGAAAATACGCACAAGGAACTGGTAAAAACTCAGCTTGAAGGTGTAACAGAACAAAGAGATGACCTGCAAAGAGAGGTAAATTCTTCACCTAAAAGGCTCCCTTCCCACCCCAGCCTTTGTGAGCATTGCTTGGGGGCTGTCGCAAAGGTTCCGATCAGGTCAGGGCAGCCTTTTCCTCTCAGGAGCTGTGCTCCAGGTACTTTTCCATCAAATTGGCTTTCACCTGGCCAGTTTCTATGCATCAGTGGGGATGGCTCCTGACATAATTTCTGTGTCTCCTCTGCTGGGGGAACAGTTGGGCAGTCGTCCTGCTATTTGAACATCATTTTCTCCTGCAGTGCCTGGTGGAGGGAGCTGGGAAGGTTTATCTTCCCAGGCCTTCCATTCTTGAGGTGGCCACCTCAGGCTCAGCTGTGCTGTTCTCTGCCTCCTGCCCTTTCTTAGCTCCCCACTCCAGAATCAATTCTTGATGACAGAAGTCCCTTAGAACTCTAATAAGCAACGATTCCATCTGTGCTAGATAAGACACCTCATTTCTATTGGTGAACAAAATATGGGTTATGGGGGCAATTTTCTTCTTTAGTATCCTTTGCCTGGCAATACACACAAACAAAAAATGATGAAGAGAGATAATTAAGTAGCTACTTGGAAGGTGAGTGGAACAGGAGTAAAGGGCAGTGTTCTTCAGGCACAGGTTCAAATCCCCATTCTGCTACTTGCTAATTCTATGATTCTGTGGAAGTTACTTAATTTATCTAAGGTCCATTTATCTCATGCATAAAAAGGATTTTATTGTACCAACCCTACAAGATTGCTATGAGGATTAAATGCATGGAAAGTACTTAGCACAATGCCTAATAGTAAGCATGAAACAGACTAATTCTTATAATGGAAACTCTATATAAAGGAGGTCAAGGCCAACTCTACTGACCATGCATTATTATTCTTTTCCCCCTCAATACACTGTTTCTAGTTATTCACCCAGCAGGGGAATTAACTGCCTTTCTAACTTAAAATATAGTGATGAGTCCAAATATAAAAAAAAAAGTAATGAAGGCTTTGAGGATCACCCAGATGGAATAACTACTAAGTATAAGGGTTGTGGGCAAGACCAGCAAATGGATGAGGGCAGGAAGAAAGATGTCAAAGTAAGAAAAGGGGGCTTGAGAAATAGTGGAGAACATAGCAGTAGTTCTCACACTTTCCTGAGTGTCAGAACCACTGGGAGGGTAATGCAGTGGTGGTGGTGTTGAAAACAGACTCCTTAACACCTAGGTATGCATCCCCAAAAAAACACATTGCTTTATTTTCCTAATTTTGAACTTTATATGAATGGGATAATATATGTGTTTCTTGTGATTACTTTTGCTCAACAGGATATAATTTTTCCCAACAAAAATTCATATCAAAATAAGGGCTTACGAGCCCCAGCCAGTTTGGCTCAGTGGTTAGAGCATTGGCCCGTGGACCAGAGAGTCCCAGGTTCAGTTCCTGCTAAGGGCATGTACCTCAGTTGCAGTTTGTCCCCAGCCCCGGTTTGGGTCGTGTGGGTGGCAGCCAGTCGATGTGCCTCTCTCACATCGATGTTTCTCTTTCTCTCTTCCTTCCTCTCTCCCTCCTGCTCTATCTGAAGATGAATGCAAAAATGTCCTTGGGTGAGGATTAAAAATAAATAAATAAATAAATAAATAAGGGCTTATGATACTATCCAGCTATTCCATAAAAGTCTTCATTTAAAATAAGAATACACATGCCTGGACTTCCCTGACTGGGAGTCTGACTCAAGAGATTGAAAGTAGAGTCAAACAGTTGCAATTTTTAATAAACTCCTCAAGGAATTCTGAGGAAAGCAAAGCATGAGGCCCCACAGAAAAAAAGGAGCAACTCTCATCATTGTTCTGTGCCTGAGCTGTTACAATAGGCCACCAATATATCTCTCCGGGCCAAATCTTTTCTCCTGTACCAAGCCAGATCATTATTAAATGCCATTTTGTATACAGCTGTCCCTCCGCCATCCTCAGAATTTTTTCAACAGTCCTCTATTGAAGGGTACAGGACAGAATTCAACCACCCTCAGTCTGATACTTGTAGACTTCTACCTGGTCCCATTTAACTTTTTTAAAAAAAAGGAATTACCTTAAACCAACAACCTTATAATAAAGTCACATTAGTCAACTGCCTAATCCCTAAGCATTTATATCTCAGCAGCTTTATGCCCTTCCCCCTAGCTGTAAAGACCTCTTCTCCCTAACATTTGTCTAAGTCCCATCAGGGCCCCTTTTAAATTCTTCCTTGAGGATTCCTTAAGTACCATGGAAACTAATATATACACGGTGCTATACTGTTTACAGAGAACCAGCACATACATTTTACTTAACTGCTGTAAGGAAAGTGGATGTTACTATTATCCCCATTTTATAGATAAAACATGCAGCTTTAAATAACAAAAAAAACAGGTTTTTGGATTCTAAATCCTGTCCCCTTTTCACTCTAACATGCTCTCTCCCAGAGGCTGCCAGATTTAGCAAACAAAAATACACAATTCCAGCCCTGACTAATTTGGCTCAGTGGTTAGAACCTGGGCCCACAGGCCCAGGGGTCTTCAGTTCGATTCTCGGTCAAGGGCATGGACCTGGGTTGCAGGTCTGATCCACGACTACGAAGGGGGTCATGTGGGAGGCAACCAATTGATATGTCATTCTCAAATCGATGTTTCTCTCTCCCACCGTCCCTCCCTTCCACTCTCTCTAAGGAATCAATAGAAAAATATCCTCAAGTACCCAGCTGGTGTGGCTCAGTGGTTGAGCACTGACCCATGCACCAAGAGGTCACCAGTTCGATTACCAGTCAGGGCACATGCCCAGGTTCGGGCCTGATCCCCAGTGGGGGGCATGCAGGAGGCAGCCAATGGATGTTTCTATCTCTCTCTCTCCCTCTCTAAAATCAATAAAGAAAAAAATATTTTAAAAAAACCTTCAGCCCTGGCCGGTTTGGCTCAGCAGTTGGAGCACTGGCCTGCGGACCAGAGTCCCGGGTTCAGTTCTCGCTAGGGGCACATACCAAGGAAAGAAAGGAAAGAAAGGAAAGAAAGGAAAGAAAGGAAGAAAGAAAGAAAGGAAAGAAAGGAAAGAAAGGAAGAAAGGAAGAAAGGAAGAAAGAAAGAAAGAAAGAAAGAAAGAAAGAAAGAAAGAAAGAAAGAAAGCTTCAAGTTCAGTTAAATTTGAATTTCAGATAAATATCAAATAACTTTTTGGTATAAGTATGTCCCATGCAATATTTGGGACATGCTTATATCCATTTTTTATATTGAATTACTAATCTGAAATTCAAATTTAACTGGCATTCTATATTTTATTTGGCAATGCTATCCTCTCCCCCAAAAGAAAACCCTGTTCCATCCAACTGACGACGTGTGTGTATTTCTGTACTATTCTGTATTATGTTCTCTGCTCACACCTAGAAGAAACTCTTGTAACCTTGCAAAAGTCTGTGTCCTCAGCTTCTAATCCAACTCAATACATACTCAGCCCAAGTCTGACACTGATGACCAGAGCCGCCTCACCTTTAAATCTTGGCTCCACCACTTAATTAGCTGTGTGACTGTGGGTAAATCATTTAAAATTGCTGTGATTGAGTATCCTCACTGTAAACTTAAAAGTGTCGGGAGGTTTAAGTGAGATAAAGTAAAGTAATACCTAACACATAAAAAGCTCTCTATATGCAGTACCTTTAAAGAAGACACAGGGAAGGTAACAGAATTAGAGACTAGGGAAAGGGTTTATGACCTCTCTTCCTTCACTGTGCTGGGAAGAGGAGAGGAGGGCAGGAGACTATCACGATGAGTCCGAGAAGCATGACTCTGACTAAAGGCAGACCTGGGGCCGGTCTAGAGAAGACGACGCTGGGAGAGAGAAAGGCAGCAGGGATCGGCCGTCAATGACTCTCCGCGGGGTGAGTGTTAACAGGGGTACCCCGGGCCTGTCCAGCTCTCCCGGGCCGGGGATGACTCAGGGAGTCGATGGAGCTCCTTCCCTCCCAGCCCAAGGTGGCATCTCGCCCATCAGCCCCCGCGCCTACCCCAGGCCCCCACGGCCTCCGCGCGCCCCCGACCCAGTGCCGCCCCTCACGAGGCCCCTGAATAGTTACTCACCAAACCATAGTGCTTTCCAACACCATCTTGCAACCTTCCTCCCTCCCAGACTAGTTCTCCGGGACCGCCTAACAACGACTCCTCCAATTGGCCCAGAGCTCACCACCAATCACAGACCTCGGTTCGGCCAGCTGGTTCCGCCCCCATCCTGCGCTGAGTCCTGGGAGTTGTAGGCGCGGCCACAATAAAAGGGACGCGCGGGGACGGAGCGACCGAAACAGCACAGAAAATGTTAATGCTCGCGGTTCAAGCCCTCCGGTGGAGTTTCCTGCTGGAGGGATCTAAGAGAAGCTTGGAAGAACCTTTGAAAGTGCAGAGGCAGTGTAGGCTCCAGAGCCTATCATTATCAAAACGTGGTGGGATCACTTTTTTCCAGCTCCCACTGTTTCCCATAGCACTGTATTCATCTAACTACTAACTGCTGAGCCCTTATCCCTCTGAATTACATTTATTTGTGATTTCTATCTCTCCCATTTAATTAGAGCAGGAAACATGTCAATCCTTGCGATCTCTGAGCCCAGTACAGAGCCTGACACATGGTAGGAGCCTAGAAAATGTCCAACAAATCAACAATTATAACTAATTCCCCAAAGAATAGGAGAAAAAAACAGCAAACCATTTTGGTTTGTTGATCAAAAATAACACTGGCCAGTGTTCTCGGGTTAGAGGTCAGACTGTGCACCAGAGTCATGGGTTCAATTTCCTGTGAAGGGCACACACCTGGGTTGCAAGTTCAATCCCTGGCCCAGTGGGGTGAATGCTGGAGGTAACCAACTGATGTCTCTCTCTTTCTCTCTCCCCCACCTCTAAAAATCAATGAGAAAAATGTCCTTGGATGAGGATAAATCAAATGAAATACTTTTAAAAAAAGAATAATATTAAAAAATGCTTTTTTTTTTTATCCTCACCAGAGGACTTTTTTTTTTTTTTTTTTTTAATCCTCACCCGAGGATATTTTTCCATTTTTTGTACAGATAGAGTGGGAGGGAGAGAGAGGAAGGGAGAGAGAGAGAAACATCGACGTGAAGGGACACATCTAGTGGCTGCCACCCGCACGACCAACCAGGGCCGGGGACAAACTGCAACCGAAGTACGTGCCCTTAGCGGGAACCGAACCCGGGTCTCTCCGGACCGCAGGCCGACGCTCTAACCGCTGAGCCAAACTGGCCAGGGCACCAGAGGACTTTTTTTTTTCCCCATTTTTTTGTTCATATAGAGTGGGAGGGAGAGAGAGAGAGAGAAACATCAACGTGAAAGGGACACATCGAGTGGCTGCCACCTGCACGACCCGACCAGGACTGGGGACAAACTGCAACTGCAGTACGTGCCCTTAGCGGGAACCGAACCCAGGTCTCTCTGGACCGAAGGCTGACGCTCTAACCGCCAAGCCAAACCGGCCAGGGCAAAAAATGCTTTTGATTACCTTCCACCACACACACGTCTGGAAATTCCAGATGTCTATCTTGGAAGGAAGGGGAAAGGAGGAAGGAACCAAGTATGGCAATAGAACACCAAACTTAGAAACAGGAGAGGAGTGTTGTAGATATCACCCAGATATTGGTACAGTTTCAATGGATATGTTCAAAAGCTACTGGTAACCATCACAGGTTGTATAATAGTCAAGTCTCCATATCACGGAGGGGTGGGGGGGTCAATATAATCATAGACAGAAAAGGGAAAAAAAAAACACAGAAAAATAGTGCCAAGTTCAAACATAACTAAAATATTTTAAAAACAAGACAAGAATTACGTTAAAAACAAAACAAAACACAACAATAAAACACAGCACACAATGTAACTAGAGACACAAAACTAAGGGACAAAGGTAAAAATAAAGGGAAAGGGAAAAGCAATATATCAGGCAATAGTAATAACAGAAAGCATATATATGTACCAAGAGGTTGCCAGTTCTATTCCTGGTCAGGGCACAGGCCCAAGTTGTAGGCCTGATCCCCAGTGAGGGGCATGCAGGAGACGGCCAATCAATGTTCTCTCTCATTGATTTTTTTTTTCTTTATTGATTTTATAAAGAGAGGAAGGGAGAGGGAGAGAGAGAAACATCGATAAGAGAAAACATGGATCGGCCGCCTCCTGCATGCCCCCCACCTGCGGATCAGGCCCACAACCTGGGCATGTGCCCTGACCTGGAATCGAACTGGTGTATAAGTCAACGCTCAACCACTGAGCCACACCAGCCGGGCTCTCATTCATATTTCTATCTTTCTCCCTCTCTTTTTCTCTCTCTCTAATATCAATAAAGAAAAAAAGAAGAAAGAAAGCATGTGTAGCCCAGCTAATACGGTTCAGTGGTTGAGCATCAACCCATGAACCAAGAGGTCACCAGCTGGATCCCCAGTATTGGGTATGCAGAAGGCAGCTAATCAATGTTTCTCATCAGTATTTCTGTCTCTCCCTCCACCTTCCTCTCTCTCTAAAAAAAAGAAGAAAGAAAGCATATGTAGCTCTATCAATATTGTACAAAATAGAAATGAGCATAAATAGCTGAAATCAGATCATGAGAATATTTCATAAAATATAAAATGAATCAACAAAAATGCTATTGGCCCAGTGTGTGGCTCAGTGGTTGAGCATCGACCCATGCACTAACAGGTTGCCAGTTCGATTCTCAGTCAGGGCACGTGCCCAGGTTGTGGGCCCAATCCTCAGTGGGGGGCATGCAGGAGAAAGCCAATTCATGTTCTCTCTCATCTATGTTTCTATCTGTCTCTCCCTCTCCCTTCCTATTTCTAATATCAATAAATACTAATAAAAATTTTAAAAATGCTATTGGTTAATCACAGTAATGCAATTCCAATGATTAGTTGAACATCGGGAATAACTATAAGTTAGTATTCTAAATGTAGAAGTAAATAAAGACAAACATTCAACCCAAACAAAGGGAGTAGGAACTGAACAAATACTGTCATCACTGTTTGGAAAGCATGTTCCATGATATCTGTGCAGGGAGGTGTCACCTTCTCAGCTTTAGTCAGTCATTTAATAGATTGTGAACAGTTTTTTTATTACCACAATTTAAAAAGTCTGTGGAGATATTGCAAAGAATACAAAATATAATAGCTGTAAAAAATGAGATAGTGGAAATTAGATCCTACAAGATTGACTTGATTCAACCTGAAGAACAGAGAAGTACAAGGGTGGGGAAACATAGGTTTACAGTTGTCAGTACTGAAAACAGAATTTTTTCTTGTGTTATTATTTATTAATTATTGTATTATTTTCCATACGAACAACTGTAAACCTTCCTCTGCCCACCCCTGTAATACTTTCCTCAAATAGAGAAGACATCTTGTTAGAACTATGTCAGAAGCTTTTGAATTGAGATATGCAAGTTGCAACAGCACACACAAAAGATGAAATCCGATAGGATCATATTTCAGCAAAACAAGAAGAACTCTATAATGAAAAAAAGCAAGAACAAAAACAATGTTTTTAGCTTTTTTTAAAATCCTCACCATGAGGATATTTTTCCATTTATCTTCAGATAGGGCGGGAGGGAGAAAGGGGGGAAGAGAGAGAAAGAGAAACATAGACATGAGAGAGACACATTGATTGGCTACCACCCACACAACCCCAATGGGGGCCTGGGAAGAACTGCAACCGAGGTATGTGCCCTTGGCCAGAATTGAACTCAGGGACTCTTTGCTTCGTGGGCTGACGCTCTACCGCTGAGCCATAACGGCCAGGGCAACAACAATGTTTTTTGTAAATTTTATGTACAGATTTGATTTTTCATAGTTGTAACTCAATTTTCAAGATATTGTGTGGGTTTTTTGTTGTTGTTTTTTTACCGAATTTGGGTGGTGTTAGTGTCATTACCTAGCACTTTGATCTTTTACTAAAACCAGGGTTTCACTCCTTTTTCACTGAAGTTTGACATTTCATTAATACATTTCAATGTAGTCATGCATTTCTAGTTGTACATAGGACGAGAAAAGATCTGATTTATGACATGTCCTAAATGGATTGCTGTATTTTAGAATGATAAACATTTTACATTATTGGAAAGTGTAATGGGGACCTTCTGTATACCTGTTTAGAACCAAAGCCATCATGACACAGTTTCTATAGTGTCTGTATATTGTGATGCAACAGTCTTGTAAAGGTTTTTACTATAAACTACCATTAGCCAGTCTTTCTTACTGACAATAGATTACTAATAAAAAAAATAAAAAATAACAAAAACAATGTTCATTTACCGTTGGGTCAAGCACTATTCTGGGCACTTGGAAGAGAATAAAGTAAAATCTTGACCTTGTGGAGCTTACATTCTCTGGGGAAAGGCAGGCAATAAACCAATAAATAAATATATGTAGTCAAATAATGGTAAGCACTGCAGAGGAAAATAAACTGGGGTGGGTGTGGTTTCTTTTTTATATAAAAAGGATACTAGGGAAGCCATACATTTGAACTGAAACCTGAAACATACCTGGAGGAAAGAGCAAGTGCAAAGGCCCTGAGTCAGGAGTGGTACTTAAGCACAAGGAGACCAGTAGAGGCTGGAGTAGAGGGAGAGCCAGAGCGAGAAGAAATAAGGCTGGAGAGGCAAAAGGATTAAAGAAGTTGGATCATGCACAGTCTCATGGATCAAGGACTCTGAGAAAAGGAGCTGTTGGAAAGTTTTAACAGAGAATTGACAGAATCTGACAAGGTTTTAACAGGATAGTTCTGGCTGCTGCATTGAGAACAGACTGCAGGGAAAAAGAGCAGAAGTAGACCAGTTAGGAGACTACAATAATGTGATGATATGATGGTGACTTATTCTAGGGTGGTTAACAAGGTGCGAAAATGGTGACATATAGTTGGATTTTTTAGCATGTCGTAAGACACAAAACTGATAGAATTTCCCAGTGGATCTGATGGAGGATGTAAGGGAAGAGCAAGATACCAGAATTGGCCCTGGCCAGTTTGGCTCAGTGGTTTGAGCGTTGGCCATTGGATTAAGGTTTGTGGGTTCAATTCCTGGTCAAAGGCATGTGCCTGGGTTGCAGGTTTGATCTCTTCCACTCTCTCTAAAAACCAACAGAAAAATATCCTCAGGTGAGGATTAACAACAACGACAAAAAAAAAA